GAAATTAGCATATGTTTCAGTAGCACTGTGTGATTTGGACCTACATACCTTTGCAATGTGACCAAACTTATCACAAAGTTGACATTGAACTCGTTGATTGTTGCTCTTGGAGGTATTCTGCTGGGTGAATGAATTGTTATTCGTGGCAGAAAATTGATTACGAGAGTTGTAGGAACCTGATGGAGAAGTGTTCCTACGATTGGAAGAGTTAGTCTGTCTATTTTTGGGACCATTATTGGTGGAATGCTGATGAAATTGAGCAGTGATCATGGGTGTGTCGACCTTAGGTTCTAAGTGTTTGTTGAACATCTCTTGTGCAAGGAGTTTATCAAAGAGTTCTTCGAATATGATAGGATTATCACGAGCTCTTATTGCTGCAGATAACTCCTTGTACTCAGGACCTAGACCACTCAGGACCTTAATGACAAGTTCCTCGCTGTTAACGGGTGAACCACTGCAGGACAAATCATCTGCAATGGACTTGATTTCTCTCATATAATCACTGATTGAACGTGCGTCTCGTTTGACATTCGCCAAAGTATCGCGCAAACTGAAAATTCTTGAGTGCGATTTGCTCGCATAGGTTGTTTAGAGAATATTCCAAGCTTCTTTGGCAGTGGAAGCAGGGCAATGAGGGGAGCGATTGTAGCGTCAACGGATGCCATAATGGCATTGCGAACAAGACCGTCTTGTCGCTGCCACAATCTCAAGTTGGGGTTAGGAATTTGGGTATTGTCTTTGTCCATAATGTGCGCAGTTGGGATGGGAAGTGAACCATCAACAAAAGTAAGAACATCGTAGCCAAACAATAGAGTGGTAACTTGGGATTTCCAAGTTGGATAATTTGCACTTCCTGTTAGCTTGAAGGATAGCTGTGACGCAGGGTTAAAAGAGATCAATTGAGAGGGCTGAACGACACCCCCTTGATTGAGAGAGACTGCTGGAGAGTTAGGAGAGGAGGAAGTAGCAGGCATTCTGGAGAGAAAAAAAGGAGTTGGAATCTAGAAAAAAAGAAGACGATCGGATATACTCGTCAGAGTGTTTAGGAGGCTCTTGATACCATATAAGAGTTGTATATGATTATGAAAGCATTAAGTATTATTGATACAATGTGTGGTATTTATACATGAACAAGTATAGAAGATAAAGAAGTCTATTGAACGTAAGATACCTAAAGAGAAAGAGAAATAACTACGTATATGACTCAAACATACTAACGTACTAGGACTCTATATCCTTATCCTTATCACCCATAACACTTTCTTTTAATTAAAAATGCACTCTTATATTGGAATAATGTCATTTTATTCGTAACTAATGAGTCTTCTAATTAATCAAAGCAGCATTAATTTATTGATCCATATGGACTTTTAACCTCACCATTAGAACCCAATCTATCTTAATCATTCCTTTCAGTGATAAAATTCATCATTTTGATTATCATACATCTTGACAATTTCTAGAAGTTGGCCATAAATTTTAGGCCTAACCCATCGGTAGCCCCTTAAATTTGGCACGAAATTTCACTTAGGCACCTCAAGTGGATGATGTTCATTTTAGACACCTCATGTAGGGTTTCGCTGTGTCATTTTGACACTTTTTGCTTACATGGCATAGTGAGTGTAATACACTTATTGAGCGCGCGTGAAAACCTATTTAGTCGATTTTTTAATTATTTTTTTCTTCTTCTTTCCCATTTTCAGCCACCATTTTTGCAAACTTAAATATCCAACATGGTGAATAAAAATAGATAAAGTAAAATGATGAAAAATGATGGAAACTATTTTAGAAATTTAGATCAAACATCTCGAAAACCCCACTACAGTACGTCCAAAAGGGAATCACAAAAAAGTATAGAAAGATCAAATGGTTCACTCCTGAATTACAGAACGAGAATTGAAGAAAAGAAAGAAAATAACGAAAGAATTGGGAATTTTTGAGTTGGGTTTCAGGGATATAGAAAAGTGACAAATGAGAGTTGCATTGGTTTATTAGGGAAGCCGGCAATGGAGATTACAGAGGCAGTGGGGAAGAAGGAAATAAGGAATTTTGTCTGTCTCTAATGGAGAAATTTTTTTGGAAATTTGTTGGGTGTCTGAGGAGTGAAGAAGCAGTAGTATAATAGAATTTTAAAGAGGAGTAAGTTTAATTTTTGGTGAATTTTAAACTTGCTAATTAGGGTAAAAAAGAAATTTTTTTTGAAGAAGAGTAGGGGTATTTGGAGAAGACGCGGGGGGGGGGGGGGGGGGGGGCGTATAAAAAACACACGCAAATTGAAGACATAGTTTCATAGGGCGCAAGTCCTAGAATTTGAGGCATAAGATTCGAGCGTAAAAACATAAGTCCTGGGAGTAAAATATAAGCTCCGGGCGTTTTTTTTTTAACTAGTTTGCTTTAAATCATATTTTTTATTATAGGTGTAGTAATATTTCTCAAATAGTAATTATAATACTTTTTTTCTTCATTATTGGTTGTCAGTACGTTCTCAAATAAAAATCATAAGACTTACATCCCTGTATTTCAAATCTTACGTCTTATTTCATACGGTATAAAACTTCTCACCTCACACACCTGTCTTTTAAAATACTTCTGCCTTCTTATAATTTTGGCACGTAATATAAATTTCCGTGCAAAATTTCAACAACGCATTTTTCAATCAAATTCTAAATTTGATATTCAACCTTATAATGTGAGTCCTGATATTTTCGAATTGTTAATTTCAACTCAAACCTTCACAAATCAAGCAGATCGATTCAAAATTTCCGGTGGAAACTGACACCACTCTCCCTTCACTGTTATCTTTGGCATTTTCTCCATTTTTCATCGGCGGCTAAATCTGAAATTGTGAGTTTCCCCTTGGGTTTGTTTTATTTGGAATATGTATGTATTATTATTTGCTATTAATCAATTTTATGTAAGAAGATTCTATTATAAAAAAAAAGGGATAAAGGTTTGAAAAATACTGCTAACTTTGGTCGAATTTGTTGTTGCGATACTAAACTTTCACAACGATCTATTACCTCCCTAAACTATTTAATACCGTATTTTTTACCCCCATGTACTATTTAATACTGTTTTTTTTACCCCTGAACTATTTAATAGTATATTTTAAAGGTATATATGTGCCCACGTGGACACATTACTATTTATAATTTTGCATTATTTTTTATGTCCGCGTGGGTAAATATATATGTTTAAAATATGGTATTAAATAATCTAGGGAGGTAATAGGTCCTCATGAAAGTTTAATATCACAACAGCAAATCCGACCAAAATTAGATATTTTTCAGAACCTTATCCCTAAAAAAAAATTACAACTATTTATCATAAGAATATGGTTCTTATTTGATTCCTGTAATCCCCGTTTCGAATAACTTCTCTTTTGAGCTAGGTTGCAAAGGTAGGAATAAGGTGTGTCTTTGAACTGATTTATCGAAGACAGTCTCTCTAACTGCACAGGCAGTAGTAAAGGCTGAATCGGTAGCGAAAGTAATTTTATTTAGGGAGGACACCTATTGTATTTATAAATAAAACTAAAATCTTAATCTAGTTAAACAGTGTAATTTTCCGAGACATTCACATAAGTTGGCTCCGTCACTGGTCTAGGTACATCTTACCTTCTCTATACCCCACTCGTGAGATTATACTGTGTATCTTGTTGTTGTATTTGATTCCTATTTGATCCGTACTTCAAATAACTTATCTTTTGAGTGAAGGTCTATACAAAACATGCTCTCTAACCGTATAGATAGAGGTAAAGTCTAGGTACATTTTAACCTCTCCTATCCACTTATAGGATTAAAGATATGTTATTGTTGTATTGGATTACTATTTGATAGAGGGTTGAGCTAGTGGTCAAATCTTAGGATACTTCAGCTATAGAAAAAGGAAAGAAAAGGGAACTGAAGTCATAAAAGATGAATATGTGTCATCATAATTTGAGTTTTCTGCTATTGTGATGAAATTCAATTACCAAATTCTATGTACTGATTACTTATAAAAGAAAAAAAAGAAATTCTAAAGAAATGATTTTGAGCTCCTTGCATACTAGTAGTATTAGTGGTCCTTTGTCCTTCGATTTTTGTTACTACTTGTTATTTCTTTGCTTCGATTATTACATCATTTTGTTATTGTTACTGTTCCACTTTTCTATATGTCATGTAATGATTTCTCTAGTTATAGTTATGCCTGCTTTTTTTCTGTAATTATATCTTATTAAAATTGCCTTTACAATGTGTTGTTTGAGCCAAGGGTTTTTCGTAAGTAGTCTTACCATGCGGAACTAGATAAAATTTGTGTGCATCCTACCCTTCCCAGACACCATGCGTGATTAGATATTGTTGTTCTACCAAGATTACCAATTATTAAAGAGGAAATGCATACAGATAGGTACTTGCTCCAAATATTCCAAATTTAGCTGAATTCATAGTTGCGGTTGCTGCAAGCCTCTTTATTTGTTTTGCTTTTTTGATAATAGTGGTGTCTAGATGAGCTTGTGCGTATTTTGTTATTGTACTTAACTCCAGGCTCCCACTAGTACAAGAATCGGATTACTATGGCACACACTTAGGTGTGTTACTGATGAACGAGGTGAATAGTATTTCGGACTTTAACAAGTTTTCAGAACACAAATGTAAACCTTCCAATTGAGCTTATCTATTAGAGGTTCGCATTTACTGTTAGAGATAATTGGCCATAGCACTGATCGTTGTAGCTGTTGATGCCTTCTCCGTTTGAGAATGTTTAGGAATTAGGTACCTTTTCCTCACTTGAGGAGCATATTGATTTGCAGAAAATCTGAAAATAGGAATTTGTTTCCACAAATTTCTATTAGATTTCGATAACGAGCTTACATAGAGTGAAATGGACAATTAGGATTATCTCGCCAACTCAACTTGCTTGAAATCGAGCTGTAGTAGTCGTTGTACTCTATTGATGTAGTTTTCTGCATATTACATCTCATTTCAGATTTCAGCTGATCGATAACAACTTTAGTACCAATGGAAGCTAAATTTTTCCGCTTTCTCAAGATTGTTGGGGTTGGCTACAAGGCGAAAGCAGAATCTCAAGGCCGTCTCTTATACCTCAGGCTTGTTTGTAGCCATGAGGTTGAACTGACCGTTCCACCTGCCGTTCGCGTGTTCTGTTTCAAACCCAATATCATATGCTGCGCCGGGATTGACGAGGAGAGGGTACAGCAATTTGCTGCTTCTGTAAGGAGCTGTAAACCTCCTGAAGTTTATGAAGGCAAAGGTATAATGTACATTGATGAAGTTGTAAAAAAGAAGCAGGGGAAGAAATCAAGGTAATGCATCTGGCCAGGGCTTGGCCTAGTGGTTAAAGAGACAATGCACATATATAGTTCTTGATTAGCTAAGCTGTTTTCTAAAAATAACGTTTGATCATAAACAAAGAACATACAGAAAAAAAAAACAGAAGAGGTAAAAGGTGACTACTGATTCCTCATAGTTCTGTACTCGCAGTTCTCATCTTTTGGCCAAGGTTGCCAGCAGCATCTGAGGCCTTCTCTTTGGCATCTTCATACTTTTCCTTGGCTTGCTCATTCATAGTATCCTTTGCAGATTTATATGATTCATAAGCCTTCGATTTTGCATCTTCATAATTATCATCAACTTTATCTTTCCCTTCGACCAACGCATCCCTAGTCGAGTCTTTTGCATCAATAGTACTTCTATCAGTAGTCATTGTTATGGTTTGGTTGTATGCATCCGACACTTTACCTTCCACCGTGTCTTTTGCATTAACAGCACTACTAGATGCCATGTCTTTGGCCTGATTCAACTTATCGGATATGTACCTGTAAGCATCGTTGGCGCTATCCTTGGCCTCGGATGCTTTATCTTCCACTGTGTCTTTTGCATTAGCTGTACTACTAGAAGCCATGTCTTTTGCTTGATTCGTCTTATCAGATGTGTATCTATAAGCGTCTTTGGCGCGATCCTTGGCCTCACCTACCATGTCTGAAGCCTTGTCCATGGCTTGACCTGCTTTGTCAGTGGCAAAACCATAGGCATGGCTAGCTTTATCCTTCACTTCCCTGCCCACTTGGGAAGCTGTGTTCATTCCATCATCCACTTTCTTAGCAGCGAAATCATAGGCCTCGGAAGCTTTATGTTTGGCTCCTTCTTTGGCATTGGCTGCCATGTCAGAGGCCGTGTTCATAGCACGGCCAGCCTCATCAGAGGCAGAGTCATAAGCATAATGAACTCTCTCTTTCGCTTTATTATCGATATCACCTGCCAAACAGGAAGTCCACAACAAAATATTATACAACTACAAAGAACAGCATAGCTAAGTAAGAAATTTCACTGGATTTGTTGTTGTCATACTTGCTTTCTCCGATGCAAAGTCATATACATTGAATGCACTATGTTTCCCTCTCTCGGTGGCACGATGAGCCATTTCAGCTGCTGCATCCATTGCTTGATTTGCCTTCTCGCAAGCAACATTCTTAGTATCAGATGCCATGTTTACCATTCCACTAACCTTCTGACCCGCCTCTCTTTCGGTTCCTGCCAGCGAAACTGATCATTAGTTACTCTTTCAAAATGTTTAGATGCTGCGAAGCGCATTACCGTATGCGGTAGAACTTATAGTGTCCTTAGCATCTGATGTTGCTTCTTTCGCATCTTGTTGATACCTAAAGATTAAAGTAAATATGTGATCCGTGCTAGACATGTATATATTATAGCTAGTAAATAAAAAACCAGAGGAATTGTCTTACTGGGAGAATTTGGCAGAGGCCCAATCACCCAAAGAATTTGCTTTCTCTTTAGCACTATGCATAGCCTTTTCGCCTTCAATTTTCACCTCTCCGGTAGCCAAATTCGTTCTCCGCTTTGCATTCTCCGCTTCCTCCTCCATCCAACACGAACACATAATCATCATCGCCGCTACCCATAGTACAAACAACACTCTCCTCTTCTCCATTTCTACAACTGAATCCTCAAAAAAAAGAGCTATACTTAGTAATTTCAAACAATTTTAGTTAGTATTAAAGTAAATTTTGGGGAATTTTTCTCAACTGTGTAATGAAGAAATGGAGTGAAATAAGCAAGATATAAAAAGGGCGGTTTTTTTTAAAAAAAAAAATAAAAATTAGAAGAGGCGGTTGGTTTTCAAAAGGGCTAAATGAGACATGTGGCAGTATTTTGGATGGTGTGTGTAACGTGTTGTTCTCTGATTCTGCCACGTATGTCGAGTCACCTGTTAGTGGTACTTTCTCTTTTGTGGGTAAGGTTCCTGTTAAAACAATAAAATTTTAAAATAGATAAAAAAGAAATTAAATTAGTATTGTCTTTTAGATGGAAATTAATCATATTTTAATTGAATCCCCCCAATTTTTAATAAAATATTTGTACTAATCATTTTCGATTTGAATTTGAAATTCCTTTATCTATATTTTAGTTTTTTTTATAATAATTAATTTAACTGTATAAAACATGTTAAATACTTTAATCATATTAAAAATTTATCGTCTTGAAAATGATATTTATCAATCGAGTTAATCACTCCATACTTCTCCTATCTATGATCTTCCTAAATTATCTCATAGGATTGAATCGCTTTTTCCCTGCTCATTTTATTAATAGCACGCTTAAATCTCCTTAATTTTGATACACGTTCTTTTCAAAAATTGAACTCTAAATTTTAAATCAAAAGTTATTTTTATACAAATTTTTGAAATGTAATAAAAATTAAATAGCAACATGAAATAATATTATTTTGGGAAAATTATGCGGATAAGCAAACATATACTAGTTAATTAGCTAATATAACTATAGTTTGAATTAATTACGACTCATAGCTTAATTTTAATTGTAATTACGTCACCTCTCTCCTCTTTTATACATATACAAATACAAATTATGCATATACATATATAATTATATGAAAGATATACAAATACAATTAGTCTCTCTCCACTCTCTGTCGTCTCTCGCTCACATATCTCCTCCCTCTCCCAATCTCGCTCGCCAGATGTATACCAGTTACATATATACAATTATTTGACAAATATAATTCGTCTATCTCCACTCACTCCCCTCTCTTGCTCGTCTCTCTCCTCCCTCTAACATGTAGCTATGAATCGTAATTAACAAACTATAGCTATTAAGTATAATTAAATTATTTTGAGTGGCTATATGCAAAAATTACCCTATTATTTTTATAAATTTATGTAATGACCCAAGAAGTATGATATACAGGCTTAACGAGACTATAGTACTCTTGACTCTTACACAAATAACCACTTTCATGGCCTTCTATTTAAAAGTTGACCCTGTTGAAATTTTAAACAAAGCACTTAAACTGGAGTTTAAAAATTAAAACAATATCTTAATGATTGATTTATTTTTTTAAAACTTGGTTAACTTCTGAAGGCAAAGCCAAATGGAAAATGATTACTTGGTATAAATCAGGAAATTTTATGTAAATATATCATTAGGTTATTTAGTTTACTAATATGATCGTAGTGTATATATATATATATATATATATAATTTGCACATATTTGTAAAATTAGATAGTCCAAATTAAAGACATTAAATTGTAATTTTGCCAATCCCACTTTAGAAGTTAGGAAGTCTAGTAATTGACTTTTTACAATTGCGTCATTATTTATTCTAGATATCTTTGATTTGTGGGTTTCATTTTGATTTGCATCTAATAAAAAGACAAGAGTACAAGCCTATAAGTTTAAACAAAAATATCTTCGGAATATGAGTTTTAAGTAATATATTTTGATTCGTTGTCAATTAATATTTCTATCTCACAAAGTAAAATAAAGTTGACGTACATCTCACTTTTCCATACTTCACTTGTTGAAATATACTACATATATACATATGCTATTGTTGGTACCAGGAAAAACTGGAGATTGGTTAAGAAAGACTATCTACTAAAATTATTACTTATTATAATTTAATTTTTTTTTACTTCCTATTCTATGTTTAATATCCAATTGGAGTTTCGTGTAATATGCATGAATTTGTGTTTTATAAGGTTCATTAAAGAAAAAATTGTTTTTTAACATAATTTTTTTATATTCAAGGCTTAAACTTAAAATCTCTGATTAAAGATAGAAAATTTTTATCATTTCCACCATAGCCTTTGGTGAGATGCATTATTTTATAATCTAAAAGAACTAGAATGAAGTGATTGTGTTGAGTCCAATGTGAGCTATGGGAAGGGAGTTTGTGTATGGGGTAAGAATCATGCCTTAAGAATGGAACAAATAAATTAGACCGTGATACATGGTAAAATCAAGAATAAGAAAGTGTTTTTTACAACCCGGGGAGATTGGGAAGGATCATTCCCAATGCGATGTGAGACGCTTCAATACTTGCCCATATAAAGTTGTCTCGAGATCAGGATTCCTATAGGACCTTTCCTGGGGAAAAGTCACCTTACAATTAAACACACCTTCATAATGACTTGCAGAGAGATCAATAATCAATTATCTCGAGTCTTTCATCAGCCTGCCCCCAATAATTAAGTTTCAGGCAAACCATCACTATGTAGACATGTACATGTGTTACTAGATAATCTTTTCAGTGCTGAATGTGCATTCATTTCACATTGAAGCGACAATTTGACTTTTATGGGCTATAAGAAAAGCCTCTTAGAAGAATAGAAGGTATAAGAAAATCCAAAAAGGTAATACAAGAGCTTTCAATCTAGTTCATGGGAGAAACTCTAAACCTTTTGCTCACTTGTATACTCTTTTTTCTTTTTAATATATATAGATTATACTCGTGTATTTGTTCATCACCTTGATCTTTCATCACAAAGAAAATGAACTTGAATCGACCTTAGAACTTATCTTTAACTCTTTTTTACAAATTTAACTATTAATCAAAATAAGGTTTTTCCCCATAAACATTTTGGATTCTTTTATCGAGTTGAAAAATCTTCACGTCTCATATGCTAGTTTTAGAGATTGAATTAAATAATGCTCATTTTTTTAACATGACATCAGAATCAAACTTATCCCAAATCATTATTTAATCTAATGTTTAGCCTCCATCTTAATATTGTCCACGTTTCGAAATCTATTTTATTTCTTGCAAAATAAAAATTTGATTAGGTCGTCATTTCATACGTACATATTGGCCAACTCTACTCTATTTATCTAGCTCCTTATAATAATTATAATAAAATCTCACTAAAATAACATCATGAAAATTTAAAATTGAATTATTATTTAAATATTTTTTAAAATGTCATTTTTCTTAATACTAACAAACAAAAAGAAATAGCACATCAATAAAAGACATCGACCAATAACCATTTCTTTGGGTATGTAGTGTGAACAAAAAATAAAAAAAAATATAGAGGAGTCTCTTTCAGATAGCTATCCTATCCTTTTTCTTCCATTTCTTTTCTTTCATGATTAACAGTCTGATTGGTTGAATTTCTAAAACTAACTTATATTAAAAAATGCTTTTAAAAAAAAGTATGTTTGGTAAAAAAATTATTTTTGTTTGCGTAATATAAATAAAAACACTATAAGCAACAATTAGTATTTAATCAAGCTTTTAAAAAATATTTTAAGTGTATTTTTTTTAAAAATATTCGTCAAAAAAGTATTTTTAGAAAAAAAACTATATTTTTAATTTCTGAAAAACAACTTCTGCTACTTCTAAACACACTTATTCACCCGAAAACTTGGTTAAACTTCTCACTCTTCAAAAACACACACTTTTTTTAATTAAAAATAAGCTTTAGCCAAATAAGTCATGGTCAATTCTCGTAAAAGTTCAAGATGATAATTAGTGTTGTTTTTAATCATACTCTTATTGAAAAATACTTCTTTTTAATAGTGTTCATTCTCCAAAAACATCTAAATAAGAAATAACTCAGTAAACTATAACTTTTTATTGTATTATTTTTCTTAATAAACATGAAAAAATTAAAATAATACTACTTATTTTGGTACTGAGAAAGTATCAATATAATCTTGTGATAGTTGATTCACGTATTGCTTTGACAACAATGATGTTATCTTATCCTCCTTTTAAAAAAAAAGGAGAGGAATGACCACAAGATGTTGATATTGAGGTGCGTAAGGCAAATGTTTTTTTTTTTTATAAAAAAAAATAGATTTATTTATTTATTTGTATTTAATATATATAATAATATTTATCAAATATTATGCTAAAATTTGATAGGAGTAGTATTAAGAGACTTTTTTTTTCCACCTTAGAAACGTACGCGTGAACAAAAAATATTTTAAATGACCATAAGATAATGATACTTGAGGTTTGGAATCTTCCTCATGAGAATAAGATTTGTTATGAATATGAGAATCAAAAGTTACGCATTGTGATCAATGTAACAGTAAAGTTAATTACAAAATGTTAGTTACAAAAGTTTGTTATAATGTTAGTTAAAGGTAACTCTAGTTAAGTTAGACTAACTAGCTTGTACAGTTAAGATACACTATAAATAGAGTAGTGTAGGCATTATTTGCATTGTATCAGATTATCATTCAATATAGAGAAAAGTTTTTCTTCTTTGATTAAATCCTCTTCTCTGTAATTCTTCATGGTATCAGAGCCATGAATGCTCTCTTGATGTATTCCGCAAATTAGGTTGTTAAACTCTTCTGTTTGCAGTGCACACGAAAGGCTCTCCAACAGAGTCTGCATTGTCTTAGAAGCAATCCTATTTTTTTACTTCGTTTGTTGCTCCTGATTCAGTGAAGATCTTCATCAATGACGATAGGTGAAGGCTCCAATCCTGACACTCTTACTCCTTCAGCTGGTGGTAGAGAAGTCATAGTTGATTCACATCATCTTTTGTTTCTTCAAGCTTGTGACACTCCAGATAGTTCACTGGTCTCTACTCAATTAACTGGATCTGAAAACTATTCTTTGTGGAGTAGGTCTATGAAGATAGGTCTGCTACGCAAAGGTAAAATAGGATTTGTGGATGGATCTAGTTCTAAAGATAAGTTCCAAGCTTCCTTCCATAACTATGGGAGAAATGCAATGCAATTGTCCTTTCATGGATCATGATTTCTGTTAGTCGAGAACTTCTCAGTGGGATAGTTTATGCTAATAGTGCTCAGCAAGTTTGGAATGATCTGAATGAAAGGTTTGATAAGGTTGATGGATCACATATATTCTATCTACATAAGGAGATTGCTACACTCACTCAAGGAATATTGTCTGTTTCCATCTATTTCTCCAGGCTTAAAGAGCTTTGGATGGAGTTTGATTCTCTCATGCCTTGTCTTGGGTGTGACTGTGCAGTTTCAAAGACTTATGCAATTCATTTTGAGTATCAAAGGCTTATGCAGTTTCTCCTAGGTCTTAATGAGTTTTACAACCAATGTAGAAGCTAAATTATGATGATGGATCCTGTTCTACTCACTAGTGATTGCAGAAGAGAGTCAGAGGATCCTTGGTAAGACAAATTCTATTAGTGAGATGCCTTCTAACCATGGATCTATGCAGGAGGCTCTAGCCATCTTTAGTGGTAGTAATCATACCTACTTAGGCTCCAGAGGATCGGGATTTGGTGGTCTTGGTACTACTGGATCTACTTCCAGACCTAAGAAGCCATCTAACAGTCACTTGTTTTGTGATTACTGTAATTGGAAAGGTCACACAAGGGATCACTGCTACAAACTTCATGGTTATCCATTTGACTGGAGAGGTAAGAAGAATATCAGTCCTGGTTCAACTAATACAACTAGTTTTGCCGCTGCTAGTTTTGGTCCTAGTAGCCTCTCAGGCAGATCTCCATCAAGTGTTAGCAATACTGGTGTCTCTCATGCATTTATGACTAACATGCAGCATCAACAGTTTCAACCTCCTGCAACTTCACAGCCACAACATCCTCATTTCTCCCACCAGCAGTACATACAGATCCTACAACTGCTAGATCAGGGAAATGGGAAGACTACCACTGATGCTCTTGCGTTTATCTCAGGTATATCAGGTTTGTTTCCTACTTCCAAGTGGATAGTTGATTCAGGAGCTTCCAAACATATGGTTCATAGTCTGCATATGCTCAATCACTATAATACCTTATCTGAGTCTCAAGAAAGAAAGGTGTATCTTCCTACTGGCAATCTTGCGCCAGTTAGTCATATTGGCTCATCTCAGATCTTAGGAGGGGCTGAGATCACTAATGTGCTTCATGTTCCTGCTTTTCAATACAACTTATTATATGTTCCTAGACTAACAAAGGAGTTGAAATGCAGTGTTATGTTTTATCCTAATTTCTGTATTTTCCAGGACCTCTCCAATGGGAAAGTAAGGGGGATTGGCAAGTTGGAGAATGACATGTATGTGATTACTGCTGACTGTCATTTGCATTCTCAAGGAGCAGAATTGAGTTCACCTAAAGATCAAGCTAATGCAGTTTCTAAGTCTTGTCATGTACCTTCTTTACATTCATCTAGAATTAGTCTATTCTTGTGGCATAAACGCCTAGGTCATGTACTTTTTAATACTCTTAGACAATTTAGTTCTTTGCAACAGTTGCATTCTACTACTGATGCACCTTGTACTGTATGCCCTTTAGCTAAACAATCAAAACTATCTTTTCCTTTAAGTGCTACTTCTACTACTGCTTGCTTTCAACTTTTACATGCTGATGTATGGGGTCCCTATAGAGTTCCAACTCATGATAATAAAAGGTATTTTTTTAACTTTAGTAAATGACTACTCAAGGTATACCAGGATAGTATTGCTTTCCTCCAAATCTGAGGTCATAGTTGCACTCAGAAAGTTCCTTATTATGGTTGTGAATGTTTTCTCTTCCTTAGTCAAAATATAAAGGACAGATAATGGTTGTGAGCTATTTAATTCCCAGATGATTGTTCTCATGGAGTCTCTAGGTATTTTACACCAAAGTTCATGCATATATACCCCTCAACAAAATGGGGTTGTTGAAAGGAAATATAGGCATATACTTGATGTTGCTATAGCCTTGAGGTTTCAATCTAGCATGCCTCTTAAATTATGGGGTGAGTATGCTCTTACTAGTGTCTATTTGATCAACATATTGCCTTCATCTGTTTACACAACAAGACACCTTATGGGTTGCTTCATCTTAAATTTCTTTCTCTTGATCATCTTCGAGTCTTTGGGTCTTGCTTTTGGATCTGAAGTCAGAAAGGTTGACAAGTTTGCTCCAATAGATTTCCCTACTGTGTTCTTGGGGTATTCTACATTACAAAAGGGGTACAAATTGTTTTCTCTTCATACTCAAGAGTTCTTAGTGTCCAGAGATGTAGTTTTCAAAGAGGGCATATTTCCCTTTACTCAAACCACTTCTTCATGTCCTCCTTTGTTTCTTGTCTTTCAGTTTACAGAGTCATTTACTAAGTCCACTCTAGTTCCTCCCATTGCTACTCCTCTTTCTTCTCCTTGTCCAGCTTCTATAGTATCTGACTCTCTCTTTTCTCCTGCCTCTGCATCTGATATGTCTGCAACTGTTCCCTTAAGAAGATCCTCTAGAAATCCCAAACCTCCAATTTAGCTTCATGACTATGTTACTACTCAGCCTAAGTCCACTTGTCTTTACCCTTTATCCAATCATGTCAGCTATCACCATCTGTCTCCACCTTATGGCTTAGCCTTAGCTGCATATTCCAGCATCCCTGAGCCTAAGTCTTTCCATGAGGTTGCTCTCAATCCTTTGTTGGTCGTAGCTATGCAGGCTGAGATCAAAGCCTTGGAAAAGAATCATACCTGGTCTATCACTGATCTTCCTCCTGATAAATATCCAATTAGCTGTAAATGGGTGTTTAAGGTGAAATATCTTGCATCTAGTGTTGTTGAAATATACAAGGCCAGACTTGTTGCAAAGGGGTTCAATCAGAAAGAAGGCTTGGATTATTTTGAAACTTTCTCCCATGTTGCTAAGATGGTTATTGTGAGGTCTGTTCTAGCTGTGGCCTCTGCTAAACAATGGCTTGTGTTCCAAATGGATGTTTATAATGCATTTCTCCAAGGTGACCTGTTTGAGGCAGTGTATATGGTGGCTCTTCCAGGCTTTTGCAGACATGGGGAGTCTGGTAAAGTCTGCAAATTACATAAGTCACTATATGGTTTAAAGCAGGCACCTAGGCAATGAAATCTTAAACTAACAGAGGCATTACTTCAGTTGGGGTTTGTTCAAAGCCACTATGACTATTCTCCATTTACCAGAAGTGAAAATAAAGAGTTTATAATAATTCTTGTTTATGTTGATGACCTTCTGATAGCTGGAAGCTGCAAGAAGCTAATTGATAGGACCAGGAATGATCTGAAACCTACCTAGGAGATCTAATTGAAGTTTTTCCTTGGAATTGAATTCGCTAGATCAAAAGAAGGATTTGTTATGAGCCAACGCAAGTATGCCTTGGAACTTGTCTCAGAAATGGGTCTAAGTGGTGCCAAGCCAGTCAACACTCCATTGGATCCAAACCTCAGACTAACCTCTATTGAATATAACTCATGTGTACAAGAGGCAAACACTACATCAAGTGACAAACCTTTGGAAGATATTGATAGATATCAAAGGCTTGTAGGGAGACTGTTGTATCTAACTATGACCATGGTGGATATCTCATTTGCAGTACAAGTTCTAAGTCAATATATGCATACACCTAAAGAGTCTCATATGGAAGTTGCACTTAGAGTAGTCAAATACATCAAGTCAGCTCCAGGCTTTGGTTTGTTTATGCCCTCACAAGATTCTAATCAATTGATTGTTTACTGTGACTCTGATTGTAGTACTTGCTTACAAACGAGAAGATCTGTGACTAGATACTTGGTGAAGTTTGGAAATGCTCTTGTATCTTGGAAGGCAAAGAAGCAAGAAACAGTTGCTTGAAGTTCTGCAGAAGCTGAGTTTAGGAGTATGGCATCTGCAGTAGCTGAAATCACTTGGCTCATTGGCTCATACAGTGAACTAGGAGTAACCATCAAGCAACCAGTTGATCTATTTTGTGACAGCAAGGCTGCAATTCAGATTGCAGCCAGCCCTATCTTTCATGAGCGAACTAAGCATTTTGATATTGATTGTTATTTTGTTAAAGAGAAACTGCTTAAAAAAATGATTCAGATACACACTACCAAAAAACTGCTCCAAAAAGCGACGCCTTTTGCCACACTGTCCGTCACTTTTTAATAAAAATAATTATTTTTAAAATTATTTTCCAAAAAGTGACGGACGGCATCTCTTAGTCCGTCGCTTTTTTTGCGGATTTTTGTGCTAAATATATATATAATTAATAATTATTTATTTAATATATATAGAGACGTCGTCCATCGCTTTTTATTAAAAATAATTATATATAAATTAAAAATAACCACGTTGTCCGTCATTTTAAATTTATTTTATTTTATTAATTAGTTTTTAAAAAAACGACGGACGACATCTCTTAGTCCGTCGCTTTTTGGTCAAAATATCTAGTCAACTATTTTAAAAAGCGACGGACAGTGTCTCTTAGTCCGTCGCTTTTTGGTCAAAATATTGGTCAACTATATTTAAAAAAAGCGACGGACTTAGAGACGCTGTCCGTCGCTTTTTATTAAATATCTAAAAGACATATTGTCATTTTCTTATTTTCCTCTCTCTTCACTCTTATTCTCTCACTTCTCTCTCTCTATATATATATATCGATCTATACCTCCCCATATCCGTTGTCGTCGCCGCCCTTCCCCATCGCCGTCCTCTCCCAGTGCTGCCTTTCCCCGTCGCCGGTCGCCGTCGCTGCAGGTAGGGTTAGATTTTAGTTTTTTTTTTCAATTCTAGTGATTATAATTGATTGTTTGTTAGTATATTATTGTTTTTATTTGTTGGGTTGTGTTATTCAATTGTTGATTTGATTTGATTATTGTTAGTCAGGTATAGATAATTGAAGATTTTTATTTTAGGGTTTTTAAAAAAAAAAATGGGCATTTTTAAATTGGGCATTGTTAGTTAGTGAAGAATTAGCATTTTTATATTTTAGGACTAGTTTAAACTTGAGAATATGTAATTTGAGGTTGAATTGGGATTTTTTTGGATTTGATTCTAGGACTAGTTAGTAAAGTGTTAATAATTTGAACTTAGAAATTAGTAATTAAAGTGTTATGAATAGATGATGAATGTTTGAATGTCATGAATTTAGATGATGAATATTTGAATGTCATAAACTTAGAACTTGAACTTGAACTTGAACTTAGAATTTGAACTTGAACTTAGAACTTGAACTTGAAATTAGAGCTTGAAACTTGAATTTAGAACTTGAAGTTGAACTTAGAATTTGAACGTGAACTTAGAACTAGAACTTGAAATTAAAACTTGAACTTGAACTTGAACTTGAACTTAGAATTTGAAGTTAAACTTAGAACTTGAACTTGAAATTAGAACTTGAACTTGAAGTTAGAACTTGAACTTGAACTTGAACTTAGAACTTGAACTTGAACTTGAACTTAGAACTTGAACTTGAACTTGAACTTAGAATTTGAACTTGAACTTGAAATTAGAACTTGAACTTGAATTTAGAACTTGAACTTGAACTTAGAATTTGAAGTTGAACTTAGAATTTGAACGTGAACTTAGAACTTGAACGTGAACTTGAAATTAGAACTTAAACTTGAACTTGAACTTAGAATTTGAAGTTAAACTTAGAACTTGAACTTAGAACTTGAACTTGAACTTAGAACTTGAACTTGAACTTAGAATTTGAACTTGAACTTAGAACTTGAACTTGAAATTAGAACTTGAACTTGAACTTGAACTTAGAACTTAGAACTTGAACTTGAACTTAGAACTTAGAATTTAGAATTTGAACTTGAACTTGAACTTGAACTTGAACTTAGAACTTGAACTTGAAATTAGAACTTGAACTTGAATTTAGAACTTGAAGTTGAACTTTGAAGTTGAACTTTGAATTTGAACGTGAACTTAGAACTTGAACTTGAAATTAGAACTTGAACTTAGAATTTGAAGTTAAACTTAGAACTTGAACTTGAAATTAGAACTTGAACTTGAACTTGAACTTAGAATTTGAAGTTAAACTTAGAACTTGAACTTGAACTTAGAATTTGAAGTTAAACTTAGAACTTGAACTTGAAATTAGAACTTGAACTTAGAACTTGAACTTAGAACTTGAACTTGAACTTGAACTTGAACTTAGAATTTGAACTTGAACTTAAAATTAGAACTTGAACTTGAACTTAGAACTTGAACTTGAACTTAGAACTTGAACTTGAACTTGAAATTAGAACTTGAACTTGAATTTAGAACTTGAACTTGAACTTAGAATTTGAACTTGAACTTAGAACTTGAACTTGAAATTAGAACTTGAACTTGAACTTAGAACTTGAACTTGAAATTAGAATTTGAACTTGAACTAAGAACTTGAACTTGAAATTAGAATTAGAACTTGAACTTAGAACTTGAACTTGAAATTAGAACTTGAACTTGGAACTAATTAGCTTGAATATATAACTAATTAAGTTTAGAAATAGATATGAACTTAAATTGAAAACTTGAACTTATTAAAACTTGAATATATATATATATAACTAATATTCTTGGATTTGAAGTTTATATTTAACTAATTTTAGAACTTTTCGTGCTAGGCAACTGAGGAAGCTCAACATTTAAAAAAGTTGATACAAGACTATATTGCTTCTTTCATCAAAGTAGGAGATAAGGTTGGTGCTTCTAAATTTCTAAAGTTCAAGTACAATTGTTTTCAATAATGTGTTTGTGTCCATCTAGTATTCTGGCTTTAATTTTGTGATAATTTTTTTGTGTTCATCGATTGTTTGTTAAGCACAAGTACCAACACTAGTTGATCCTATTGATGACAAAATTGATTTTCTTGCAAGATCGATTTGTGTCCATCTAGTGTTGACACTTAGCTTTAAATTTAGAAATAATATATTTGTTAAGCATAAGTACCAACACTAGTTGATCCTATTGATGACAAAATTGATTTTCTTGCAAGATCGATTTGAGTCTATCTAGTGTTGACACTTAGCTTTAAAGTTAGAAATAATATATTTGTTAAGCATAAGTACCAACACTAGTTGATTTATTGATGACAAAATTGGTGGATTGCAAGATCGATTTGTGTCCATTTAGTGTTGACACTTAGCTTTAAATTTAGAAATAATATATTTGTTAAGCATAAGTACCAACACTAGTTGATCTTATTGATGACAAAATTGGTGGATTGCAAGATCGATTTGTGTCCATTTAGTGTTGACACTTAGCTTTAAATTTAGAAATAATATATTTGTTAAGAATAAGTACCAACACTAGTTGATCCTATTGATGACAAAATTGATTTTCTTGCAAGATCGATTTGTGTCCATCTAGTGTTGACCCTTGGCTTTAAATTTAGAAATAATATATTTGTTAAGCATAAGTACCAACACTAGTTGATCCTATTGATGACAAAATTGATTTTCTTGCAAGATCGATTTGTGTCCATCTAGTGTTGACACTTAGCTTTAAATTTAGAAATAATATATTTGTTAAGCATAAGTATCAACACTAGTTGATCCTATTGATGACAAAATTGGTGGATTGCAAGATCGATTTGTGTCCATCTAGTGTTGACACTTAGCTTTAAATTTAGAAATAATATATTTGTTAAGAATAAGTACCAACACTAGTTGATCCTATTGATGACAAAATTGATTTTCTTGCAAGATCGATTTGTGTCCATCTAGTGTTGACCCTTGGCTTTAAATTTAGAAATAATATATTTGTTAAGCATAAGTACCAACACTAGTTGATCCTATTGATGACAAAATTGATTTTCTTGCAAGATCGATTTATGTCCATCTAGTGTTGACACTTAGCTTTAAATTTAGAAATAATATATTTGTTAAGCATAAGTACCAACACTAGTTGATCCTATTGATGACAAAATTGATTTTCTTGCAAGATCGATTTGAGTCTATCTAGTGTTGACACTTAGCTTTAAAGTTAGAAATAATATATTTGTTAAGCATAAGTACCAACACTAGTTGATTTATTGATGACAAAATTGGTGGATTGCAAGATCGATTTGTGTCCATTTAGTGTTGACACTTAGCTTTAAATTTAGAAATAATATATTTGTTAAGCATAAGTACCAACACTAGTTGATCCAATTGATGACAAAATTGGTGGATTTAGTTAAAGTTCTTATGTTGTTTAAATAAGTTAAAATAAATAATGTGATTTAGTTAATTGGTGGATTTAGTAGTTTGAATTAAGTCAATACTAAACTAGTTAAAGTTATAAAGTTGTTTAAATAAGTTAAATTAAATAATGTGGTTTTGTTGATGGATTTAGTTGTTGGAATTAAGTCAAAACTAAACTAGTTAAAGTTAAAAAGTTGTTAAGTTGTTTAAATAAGTTAAAATAAATAATGTGGTTTAGTTGGTGGATTTAGTTGTTGTATTAAGTCAAAACTAAACTAGTTAAAGTTGTTTAAATAAGTTAACATAAATAATGTGGTTTTGTTGATGAATTTAGTTGTTGGAATTAAGTCAAAACTAAACTAGTTCAAGTTAAAAAGTTGTTGAGTTGTTTAAATAAGTTAAAATAAATAATGTGGTTTTGTCAATACTAAACTAGTTTTAGGACTACTACTAGTAAAATTATTATTAAATTTTATTTATAATATAATTGGATATCTATATTTTTGTAGATGGATCATCGTTTGTGGATGTATAATATGCATTATGAAACTGGTGATGGTTTGAAACCTGAGTTTATTGACGGTATTAGAAATTTTATTGAACATACGACTCCAGTCAGGCTTAGAAGGTATTGGATCGTCACGTCAAGCCGAGGTACTTGACGGTGTTCAGATTGCTGCTATGTTGGATCAAATAGCT